TACACCCCAGATCCACATCAGCTCAGCATTGCCTAGTGATCCTGAGCAAACAGCGTTTATACAATTTACAGCTCCCTATGCCCGTGCAGTTGAAGAGATCAGAGACTTGATCTCTCCCCGCCTGCTGCCATGTTAGATCTCCTCAATGATATTCATGTTGCCCTTACAGCTTCCTGGCATAAGCAAGTTCTTGGGATTATACAAACTGCTGCTTCTGTTTCCAGTCCAGATTTCTAGAAATTAAACCCTGCCGCCTCTTCCCCGGGGCCACGCTCAGGGGCGCCGCGCTCGTCCGCGCTGCCAACCGGGGCCCAGCCCCCGGGGCCCAAGCGGCTGCCGCCGCAGCTCTCCGGCTCCCTCCTCTTGAGCACGGGTCCCCTCGCAGGGGGATGCAGAACGACCCCAGAGCAGGCTCTGCCCGAGGGTGCAGCGGCGAACAGGCGACCCAGGCGCTCAAGGCTGCGGTCCAGCCTTTGGAGGACAGGGCTCGGCACGCAGCCCAGCTCCAACCTCTAGGTGCGGCTGCCGGACAATGTAGACATAGCCATCAAGACAGCTAGCAGAGAGCAAATGGCGGCTCCCGCGGAGTGGATTTTCAGCACATAAACCGCAGCCCAGCCAACAATCCCAATCCACAAACTCTCCCTGTATAAAAAATATTCCAAAAAAAAAAAGGTGGGGCGCACTGAGCTTTCTTTGCCTAGGGTGCTTACAATCCACTGCTGATTACACATTCACCTTCTCTGCCCGGAGCGAAGCAAAAGAGGAAGCAGATGGGAGCAAAGCGCCCGCGGCTCTGGGCGGCAAAGTGTCCGGGAGCCAAGCGTCTCTTTTTCGATCTCTTTGTTCTTCCTGCTGCTTGGCAAAGTGGTCCGCTACAGATTAACGGTGAAAGGAGCTCTTACACGCTGTGCGAAATCTCGATTAAAGCCGCTGCTCTGAGCACCACGCTCAGCACTTCAGCAACCCCCGTGCGCAGCGGCCATCTTCTTCCAGTTTCCTTGTGTTTGAGCTTATTTATCTTGGTAAGAGCTAAAAAACAAGAGAGTTAGGCAGAATAACACATGCAGTATTTTGGGAGGAGTTTGTGACTCTGTTCTCTGTGACCTGTACTTTCATTTTCTCATACCCTGGCTTTAATATCCTCATGCATGGTCTTCTTGTATATTACTTCTCTCTCAAGATTTTTCTTTTAAGATTTGTGACTTTCTTGTCCCATTGTCTCCCTACCCCCACCCAGTGCATTTTAATTATATAGAATAGTGGTTTCATTGTGGCATATTTGTACATACATATGCTATACTTTGATCATACCTGTCTCCCCATTACCTTCCCTTCCTTCTCTCTTGTCCCCTCCTTCCCTTGATCCCCTTCCTCTTTTTGTAATACATTGTTTCTTGTTCTGTCACTCACTTTCTGTTTGGGGGTGGGAGTGGGAGGACTAGGAATTGAACACAGGGGCACTTCACCATTGAGCTACATCCCCAGCCAGTTTTTAAAATTTTGAGACAGTGTCTCACTAAGTTGCTTTGGGCCTTAATTTCTGAGCCTGGCCTCAAACTTGTGATCCTTCTGCCTCAGCCTCCTGAATCACTGAGATTACAGGTGTGTGCCATGTTTCTCTTTTTTAAATGACTGAATACATTGGACTTATAGTCCTTATTTTTTTCAATTGCTTACCAGGTTTTCTCTTAACACTTGCTTCATTTGCCTAAAATAACTATGTTGGATAAAGGCAGTTGAGAGAACATCCATGTTGTTCATTTTTTATTCTGAAATTTCTGGTTTACAATTGTTACTAATGTTAATGCTATTGACCTAAAGTGGTTTTGTGTGTACACTGGAATTTAGAAGACTAAGGAACTGTAAAAGTAGGAACTCTTCTGTAGGAAAAAAATGGGTAAAACTAAAGGGAAAATAGTTTTGCATAGGAGTATTTGAACTATCATCAAATAATAAAATCAGTACATTCTCTTCTCAATTTGTATAATGGTCAAGTTTATAAAAGATTGTGGAGGAGAAAATTTTATACTCTATAGTTCTTTTCCATTAATTTTGAATATTAGTTTCAGAGACACATTATTAAAGTCTGATTAATATTCAATTGGTATCAGATACCTCCCCCGCCTTTTAGTTAAGTATACAGAGTGTGTAAATGGGTTATTTATGCAGCTTGGAGTCTCCGGACTTTTTTTCTAGAGCTCTGATTATTTTTATGTAGCAAATAAGTTTTAGAAGTTAGTTAGAAGTACTTACATAAGTTCTATTAGTCGAGGTTTTTTTTTTTTTTTTAATTATTTGTTTTTTAGTTGTAGTTGGACACAATACCTTTATTTTATTTATTTATTTTTATGTGGTGCTAAGGACCTAACCCAGGGCCTTCCATGTGCTAGGTAAGCGCTCTACAACTGCCCCCACAACCCCAGCCCTCAAGTTTTTTTTAGAAAAGACTTATTTACATTGTTCTTTTTTAATGTAAATAAACACATATATATGGATATCCTTTCATGTGAGATAAATAAAATATGTATATACTTATCTCCACTTTGCATTTTATATTTCTTACATACTCTGAAGATCATTGCATAATAGTACATATGGATATTCTAATATGCCTCAATTCTTTTTTAATAACTACATAATATTTTCTAGTATAGTATTTTATTCATTTAATTCCCTATTGATGGACATTTGGGTTGATTCCAGGATTTTGCTATGATATCTAGTCTACAATACATAACATCTTTGCACTTTTTTTGTCACAATATTAAATAATCACTTTGTAGGGTTTTTTCTTTATCTACTTTTTCTGTATGCTTTTTATATTTTCTTTTTCTTATCTATATTCAACTTTTTTTTTCCTGTCTCATGTTGTGTGGTTCCACAATGACATAGAGAAAAATATGTGTGATTTTATGTGCGTATGTATCAATTTGTATATCAGGGATGTTTTTCTTCCACTTTTTTTTTTTTTTTTTACACATTTAATTTTTTTATTGTTGGTTGTTCAAAACATTACATAGTTCTTGAAATATCATATTTCACACTTTGATTCAAGTGGGTTATGAACTCCCATTTTTACCCCATATACAGATTGCAGAATCACATCAGTTACACATCCATTGATTTACATATTGCCATACTAGTGTCTGTTGTGTTCTGCTGCCTTTCCTATCCTCTACTATCCCCCCTCCCCTCCCCTCCCCTCCCCTCTTCTCTCTCTACCCCCTCTACTGTCATTCATTTCTCCCCCTTGTATTATTTTCTTCCACTTCTTAATAGCTAATGAAATTTTCTATTCTTCAGTTAACACCTGAGGAGTAGAATCATGTAGTTGAAATCAAATTCTGCTCTAATTCCCTATTCATAGTTCCTGCCAATTAAAATTTTACTTAAGTGATTAGAAATAGCTGTGTCACTGTTACTATACATACTCAGAACCCCAGTCTTTCTGTGTAAATACTGAATATTTGGAATCCTGTGGAGCATTTGCTTTTATTTATTTTTTGTTTTTCTTCTTGTGATACTCAGGATTGAATCCTGAATTGCTCTGAGCTTCATCCCCATCCCTTTAAATTTTTTTTTGTTTTTTTTTTTGGGGGGGGGTGGGGACAAGTTCTCACTAAATTGTTAAGGCTGGCCTCAAATTTGCAACCCTTCTGCTTTAGTCTCCTGAGTTGCTGAGATTAGTCTGGCATATGATTGTATTTGTGTATTCCATACTCTGAATCACTTTTTTTAAAAAAATGAATATTATATCAGAAAGGCTATTAACAAGCAACAGAAAAACTCCAATAAGAGAATATTGAGTAGTTTACAGAATTGCTTGTAAATTCAGAGAGTCAAAATCAGAAAGCAAGCTGTTTGGCCAGGAACAATGACCAAAACTATGCCCTTTTGGTCTAGTCAAGTACACTACTGCCCGTGAGCACTAAATGTTATAGCTTGCACTGCCCACAATATTGGCTGTCGCTACCTTCACACTTGATAATGCTATAACTACACTATACTGAGAAGAGTGAAAAACTCAGTATTTGGAAATATTAGAGAAAATAATCATATTGATGGTACATAATAAGTCCTGGGGAGTGCAGAATAATAAGTAAAACTAGCCAGGCACAGGATGCATGCCTAGAATTCCAACTACTCAGAAGGCTGAAGTAGGAGAATCACAAGTTTAGGCCCGCCTTGTCAAGTTAGCAAGACACCATTTTAAAGAAAAGGTGCAGTGGAGAGGGAAGACTGCAGGTGGGTAGCTCAGTGGTAAAGTGCCCCTAGGTCTGATCCCCAAAACAGAAAACAAAACAAAACAAAAAATAAAACCTCTAAAATATAATTCATATATCTATTTAGTTTCTATATATCTACTTATCAGGTCTTCTCAATTTATAATATCATTTCTTTCACTGAAAGAAAACAAATAAACAAGGATATTGCTATTAAACCCTCCCTATTTTTGAATCCCTATTCTTTCCTCAGGCTATTTTGCATATTACATGGGACATTAACTGTGTGACAAGACTGTATATTAATGTTGTCAATGTATATATTAATATTAGTAAAGCTCAATTTCTTTTTAATATTTTTCTTACTCCAGTGATCATCTTCTGGACCCCATGGGTTGTGTGTATCCACTTTTGGAGACATCTCCTCTCTCCTGTATGTTTCTTGTCATTAGGATTATATGCACTATTAGAGTGCTTTGAAAAATCTTGGAATTGTCAAAAAAAGAAAATTAATCTGATAATTTATAAGCTTAAATGTATAAATAGTAAGGAAGAATTTTCATTATTGTTAAAAAACTATATAGATGTTGAGATTTTTATATTTTGTTTTGGAGGCCGGACCTTCATTTCTAGGTACATACCCATAACAAGTTCCTTTAACCAACATCAGGCCTGTCCAGCATCCCAAAAGAAGCCTGAGTTTCTCACCCTGTATAATTGTGTCAGATGTCACATTAGGTAATTTCTGTTCTCTTTCTGCTTTATTTTCTGCAGCTGGTATAACCTTAAAAACAGACTGCCTTGAAGATAGCCGCCTTACATGCTACTGGGGGTGCAGTGTCCAAAAATTATATGAAGCTCTGCAGAAGCACGTTTATTGCTTCAGAATAAGCACTCCCCAAGCATTAGAAGATGCTCTGTATAGTGAATATCTCTACCAAGAACAGTATTTGTATCCTTTTATCTGATAACCCATTAGCACATGAAAATTAGACTTTTTATGGATACAATAAAATGTGGCTACGTTGTTGATCGTTTTTGATATATTTTTAATCTTTTGGCTATAGTGGCAATTTGCCTTTACATTTTCAAAAAGTATTAAAAAGGACAGCAAAGAAGAAATATATTGCCAGTTACCAAGAGATAATAAAATTGAAGACTTTGGTTCAGTGCCCAGATCTCGTTATCCATTGGTAGCGCTGTTGACCTTAGCTCATGAGGATGACCGAGAAATTTATGATATTGTAAGTAATTTCAAAATTCTGAAAGCATTACCTCTAAGTGATTTGGATGATGGTTCTTAATTATTTGGTAAAATAAAAAAAATGTTTATTTTAATTTCTGCGGATATGTATTTGGCCTGGACTCATTTTCTTAAAAAATGAAAACATGGGATGTATACCTTTACAATTTTTATACATATAATAGCACCCTCAGAGTATGATTTTTTTCCCTTTTAGTCACAAGAATATGATTGTATTTAGGAAATAAATTATTATTAAGTTAATCTCATCACTCTGTATTCTGTTATGTTTACCATATCAAAAAGTCTGTTGGGATGCATGTCCATTTTTAACATTTTTAATACTGAACAAATAAGCATTGTAATGATCTAAAGCACTCATATTTTTTTTTTCTTTTGGGTACCCAGGAGTCTTTAACCACTGAACCACTTCTCCAGCTCTTTTTATTTTTTATTTTGAGACAGGGTCTGACTAAGTTGCTTAGGGAGTCACTAAATTGCTGAGGCTGACCTTGAATTTGTGATCCTCCTCCCTCAGCCTCCTGAGCCACTGGGATTACAGGAGTGCACTACCATGCCCAGCTTGAAGTGCTTAATTTTTAGAGTCTCCACTCTTTCTTTGATAGTTGCAGTCACCTCACCTTATTTTCATTAGAGTCCCTGTACCTTATACATCTGATTCCTATATTTTTAGTAACTACAGTAACTTGTTTTCTCATTAGTGTTAAATTATTTCTTCAGTCTGGTAGTTTATCTCTATTTAGGAACATAAAACATCTTAAAGATCAAAAGGAGCTGAGCCTTGACAATCCTTTAAGTATAATAGAAAACTACACAGTTTGAACATTCCTAATCTCAAAATCAAAAATGAATCAAATCTGAAAATTTTTGAGCAGGGACATGTTGCCACAAGTGTAAAATTTTATACCTGACTTCATGCATATTAAAAATATTGTATAAAATTATCTTCAGGGTATATGTATAAGGTATATTTAAAACATAAATGAATTCCTTAGTTAGACTTTGGTCACATCCCTGGGATATCTCATTGTGTATTTACAAACATTCCCAAATCTGAAAAAAACCCCAAATTCGAAATTCTTCTTGTCACAACATTTGGGATAAGGATCCTCAACCTATACATGAAATAAATTTTGGTGAAATTGGATCATGGTGATATTGCCCTTATAGTTTACTACTTTTCTGAATTGTTTGATGTTTATTAATAAAGATGTAGTAACATTTGAAAGAATTTTTTAAGTTGTTGATGGACCTTTATTTTATTCATTTATTTATATGTGGTGCTAAGAATTGAACCCAGTGCCTCACATATGTTAGGCAAGCACTGTACCACTGAGCCATATCCCAGCCCCTATAGTAATATTTTTGATGATACTTTTGTAATATAAAAATACTTTCACAAAAATTACTTTTCTTTCTAATAACTGTGTATTAGGCAGGGCAGATATCCTTGTACAGACTTAACAGAGTCACGAAAAATTCCAGTCGATACCCTTTATACTCCCTATCCCACAGCCACCCCCACTTGCTGGGAACTGAACCTAGGGACCTATATATATGCTAGGCAAGCACTCTACCACTGAGCTACATCCCTATTCCCTATCTTAAAAAAAAGGGAATAGTTTCCTGAAATAAAAATGCATTGAACTTTGGAAACTACAGACTGTTATTGGAACATGTGGCTCTGATCATTTGCTGTTAAGTCTCTATTTTTTTTTTTAATATTGTCAAACTGAAGCTCTGTTGAGGTGAAGTCAGCCTCCCTCATTTAAGTCATGGAGTAGGGATGGAGGAAATGAGATTTAGGTCAAACAGTCAAAGTTGCAGGTATGTAGGATGAACAAATCTAGAGATCTAATGTATACTACGGTAATAATATATTTAGGGATTTTTGCTAAAATATTAAGTATTTTGACACAGGAAAAGGAGGGGTACCTGAAATGATGAATATGTGAATTTGCTTGACTATAGTAGCCATTTTATTATGTATATACATATCAGAACATGTTATATACCTTAAATATGTAAATTAAAAAAATCATATCCACAGTAGTGTATTTCCAGAACCTAGTGCAGTGCCTAGATTCTCAATAAAGGTTCAGTAAGTGGGGTAGTGGGGGTACTTCATACCAGGTAGTGTTAGTGAACCTTCCAGACCTTGATGGCAAAACACCTTAGTTGCCTATGTATAAGTAGTATATGTGAGAGATCTGGTTTTCTTTCTCTGTCCTTGCTTTTTCAATTGCAGATAAATTAAGACCTGTTAAATTTGTGCTACGTATTTCCAGTCTCTTCCTTCTTTACTACCTACCCGTCAAGGTAACCCTTATCTCACCATTGTGTTACTCACCTTTTCTGAGTTCCTTGGGTTTGGGTTCCATAATTTTTCCATTTATTCAAAACAAAAGGACCTGATCTCAGTCATTTTGCTTCCCAACTTCCCCTGGGCTTCCTTTCCCCTGACTGACTGCTCTTTTTTTATTTCAGGTGCTCAGGTTTTCCTTCTTTGTTTTGTAACTTACTTTCTCCATCTGAGCAGGGAAAGATTTTGTGTGTGTGGCAAAATGTATATAACAGAAAATTTACTATTTTAATCATTTTTCAGTGTACAATTTAATGGTATATAAACAGAGAAGAATTTATTATCAGGTTCCCTGATCCAAATGGAATGAAGAATTTGGCCTCGCTGTAGTTGTGGAGGCTTCTCTCCACAGGGTAGCCAGGATGCCTGGCTCCTGAGGGTGAACAGACATTTTATCTGTTGTTCATATCTCCCTGTCTGGGTCATTTGTATGTCTTTTAATGTCTGTGAGCTCTATCCCCTTTTTCCACCTATTTTTTTTTCCTTCTCCTTATCTCAGTTTGAGGCTAGTATTGGCATTAAATCATACTTGTTTGTATAGTTCATGTTAATATTCTCTGTTCTTAATTTTAAAAGCAAGGGAATTATTTCATATTTGTTTTTCATGTGGGATTTTTTTTTAGGGTCATGGAGTCTAAATAAAAGCCAAAAAAAAAAAAAAAACACACACACACACACACACACACACAATTCTCCCTTTCCCATTATAATAGGAAAGAATTGCTTTTATATGGTATAGTTAGGAACCAGCTTTTTGTTTTAAGCAATTAAACGAAAACAATAATTATTCCTGTAAGATTTTGAAAATGTTAAATTTTACTGAATTACATTAGGGTTTATTTCTGTAATATTCAAATAACATGATGTGGCAGAAAAAAATTAGAAAACCTAGATAAGCTAGGAGGAAAGTGTAACCAACTGAGTTCTGTCACCCAAAGATAACAACTGTGAATATATGCTCTATCTCCCCAGATTTTCATATATCTACTTTTCTAAAGAAGAGGATCAAGTCATACATTCTATTTTGTAATCTGTTTTTATTTAATAGTATATCTCAATATCTTTTCCATATCCTTTTAAGCCTGTAAAGAATATTTTGTTAGGGGCTCAGTGGCAGAGCACTTGCCTAGCGTGTGTGAGGCACTAGGTTCAATTCTCAATACCACATATAAATAAATAAAATAAAGATCCATTGGCAATTTAATATATATATATTGTGTTTTTACATTCATATATATATATATTGTGTTTTTACATTCATATATATATATATATATATTGTGTTTTTACATTCACAGCAGGCTTTTAAAAGCTTTTTATTGATACATAATTTCAAAAAGTTACAAAAATAAAAAGTAAAAGAATACTCATATACTTTTCTCCAGATCATCTATGGTTAACTTTTCTTTCATCCAGATCATTAAGTTGATCTTATATGTGTAAATTTCATGTAATCATATGATATATTATCATATATTTTTTAAATGATTTGAGCGCAAGTTGCATGCATGATGACTCTTTATCCTTAAATATTTCTGTGTGTATTTCTTGACATTAGGATGTTCTGGTCTTTGTTTGTTTGTTTGGTTGGTTGGTTTTTGTTTGTTTGTTTCGGTAATGAGGATCGAACCCAGAGACTTACACTGAGCCATATCCCCAGCCCTTTTTTATTTTTTTTTTAATTTTGAGACAGGGTCTCACTAAGTTGCCTTGTTAAGTTGTTGAGACTTTTTAAATTTAATTTAAAAAATTTATTCTAATTATTTGTACATGACAGAATACATTTATGCATTTTGATATATCATACATAAATGGAGCATAATTTTTCATTCTGATTGTACATATAGTAGATTCACACTGGTCATGCAGTCTTATATGTACATAAGGTAATAATGTCTGTTTCATTCTACTATTGTCACAAGACTGGCTTTTGAACTCACAATCTTTCTGCTTCAGCTCCCCCAGTTGCTGGGATTACAGGTGTGTGCCACCACATATGGCTTAAGAATGTTCTCTTATATAATCATAGTACAGTTACCAGCTTTATAAATTTGACATTGACATAATATTTTATCCAACCTATTACCTATATTCCAGTTTCTCAGTTGATCTAATAGTCCAACTTCTAGTCTAAATCCAGAGTTTTTTCTTTATCATATATTTTTAGCCTCCTTTCACCTGGAACATTTCCACAGCCTTGCTTTGTTTTTAGCATTTTTGAAGAATTCAGTGCATTTTTGAGGAATAGTTGCATGCACACACCCTTTTTATAAGCAGAGCATTCTCATGTTTTTCTAACATTTCCTCATGGTCAGATCAGAGTTGTGCACTGGCAGCTAATGAACTGCCTAAGTGATGAATCTTCCTTTTCAGGCCATAGCCTCTAGAAGAATGCAGTGTGTTTTCTGTCATTGATTATGTTAGTTTTGATCTCTCAAAAGGTATTATATAATTTCTCCATTGTTCTGGGTTTGTTCTCCCTTGATCTGTGAAGAGGCAGTTTAGCTCTCATGAGGGTATTTTTGTGTGCAGAAAGTTTCAAATTGATATTTATGTGGTGATAATCACTGGAGAGTCCTAGTCTTCTGCTGGAGACACTTTAAGACCATGTAAATATT